AACGAGCCGAACACCAACACACTTTTTGAGCTTGAAATATAAACGAGCCGAACACGAGCTGAGTCCCCTAATTATAACGAATTTTGTGCGGGTAATCAGTTATGATCACAAAATATTTATAAGAGCTATTTTATTTTAAAAATATAAATATAAAATACACTGAAGATATAACAAAATTTAAAATTTTAATTAAGAATTTATTAAAAATATTTAAAATGTTTTCTTTTCTTTTTCTCAATAATTACTTTTTTTTCTTTTCTAGTTCATCAATTTTTATTAATTTATCATAATAATTATTTAAATGAAATTTATTCTATTTCCATAATAAATTTGTAATATTAAATTCGAAGTAAACCTCAAGTCATTAGCCAAATTCAACTTCACTAATTTGAGCTTCTAAGGGGCTTTTACATACATACCACACAATTCTTATGCATTTACACATCTAACACTCAAATTTTAATATTTACGTTCATAGCACTCAAAAATTTAGTATAAATTCAAAGATATTCTTGTCAGCCACTTCTATAAAGTTAATTGCATATTTCTATGCACACATTTGTTACATCTATGTCCTATAAACATAAACCTGAAATTTTAGGTGCTAGAAATGTAAATATTAAAGAATTGTATGGCATGTATGAAAATTTCCCTTCAAATTTTTGTAAAAGAAGTATCTAAATTTTACATGGGCATGCAGCTTTGCTTAATGACAATGAGCAAATATAGTTAGTATTTGTATCTACTATCATGCGTACACAAATAAAAGTATACATGAATTTTTAATAGATTTTACTAAATGAATCGAACACACCTGCCGAAGTGGTTGGTTCAAGTCCCCTTGCTAGAGTGGTTGAATCAAGCTCACATGTCGAAGTGATGAATCAAGCTCGTATGTCGATACAATCATTCTCATCTTCCTAAAAAACGAACCCGACTCACCTATGTAAGGACAACTATCAGAAGAAATTATCATGACAAAAAAGAAGTCATCATGACTAATAAGTATATTCGTCAATCTCTTATAGATGATGTCGCCCGATATTTGAGACTTTATACTTTCACCTAAGTACTTGCAATGGCCACCTTACCGATAATACCTGACATCAGTCGGCAATATCTAACATCTACATCTCAATCTTTATCAAGGCAATGGAGAAATGCGACATATAGTGCAAACTTTGATTATTTTGTTGATTTTCTCCTTTACTTATAAAAGTGGAGGGAAAATGATAAGAGTGGGGCTTCCTTTCTTGTTGTATACTCATTTTTTCTCTTCCCCCCCTCTTAATATTGCTTTCCACCTCCATTTCCCTTTTTCTCTCTCTAAAATATTGGGACCCGGGGATCTCTCAGGATCTGTCTCTCTCTAACTTACAAGATTTTAAAATTTAATATATCCCTCGAAAAACTCTCATCCATCTCTCTACCACGTTCTCTACGATACAAAGATTGTTATTGGATTACATGCACCTATAAGTGATACGATACCCTACATTTCAAAATAATTTAACATTCTAAAAGTTGTAGTGAGCATATAATTCATACAAAAACGTTGTGAATAAGTTTCTTCTCATCTAGAGAACGCCCTCGAAGAACAACAGACTATATGAGAGAAATATTTTGAATGTTTTATCATACCATAATGTATACCAGATAGTCCAAATCAGTGACCCGCAACCAATATCTCTAAGGAAAGGAGCCAAGCGGCAGATGGGAGCCGCACTGAAGCAAGAATTGGCAGGACAATAGACAGTGAGATAAGAACAGCCAAAGCGAGAGCTTCACACTTAGAATTTGTCAAGAGTCAAAGTATGAAGAGCTCTCGACCTAATCTTCAAACAAGAAAGATTGTGCATGGTTGATTTTAATTGTTTAGATGAAGATGGACTATTACAACTCAACTGGAGAAGAAAGAAGAAGGAGACAAAGGTTTTCTCCTTAACGCGTCATCGACAAGTTTCCAATATCCAACACGAATTTTGAGGCATTAAATATATGTCAAAATAATTTTTTGAGCAAGAAACGTTCAAACTTTGATTAGAGTACTTCAAAGCTCTGATTTCAACAAACTTCAATCGAATTGATCGGCTCGACAAGATAAACCCAACGATACAAAAAGTGATCCAATGCGAGTCAAGTCAGATCAAGTCATTAAACCACTTTTGTAAGCTTTTCGGACATATTTGGAAGATCAAAAGGATATCGAATCTGATGAGATAAATCTGACGAGAGTCTCGATAAGACAAATCTGACGAGCTTAAGATCGCTCAATTCCAACATCGTTAAGGCTCTCAAATGTCCATCAAACAACATATGATCGTGGAAAGTATTTGGTTCGCCCGATCAGAGTGATTCATATTCCTTCATTAATTACAACCGATAGCCTATAAATAGAGCCCAACTCCTCACATGAGAGGATGAGAGCTTGAAGCCTGAAGGGAAAGCTTGCAGCTTAGAGAAGGATCTGAAGTTCACATCACTCTTGCAGCAATCAACTGTCTCTAACGACTGTCGATCACCACTCGTCACACGTTGTCAATCACCATCAAACACTGTCTACTCCTTGCGACAAAGTATTGTGCGAAGCAACAACTAATGTCACAGAGTCACGAAGCAACCTGCAAGATGGTGCAACAATGCACCCCGAATATGGTGTAAAAATGCACCCCAAAGACAGTGCAACAATGCACCTCGAAGTCGGTTTAACAATGCATCTCACATATGCTCGTGCGGCTCCAAATTCTGGCACTTGCGGCCTTTGAACGTCATTACAACTCACCATTACGGTTTGCATGACCAACTACCGCTTAAGTGGTACACAGCTAGCGCAGCTTCGGACTCTGTCCGTTGCGGCCTAACGATGTTATTACAACTCACCACTATGATCTACAATGATACACAGCTAGTGCAGCTCCTGAATACAACCCTTGTGGGCAACAGATATTGTCAAAACTCACCACTATGACCTATATGACCTACGTGGTTCACAACTTCCCGCTACAGCCTCTATCTCACATATGCTCGTGCAGCTCCAAATTCTGGCACTTGTAGCCTTTAAACGTCATTACAAATCACCACTACGATTTGCATGACCAACTACCGCTTAAGTGGTACACAAGTAGCGCAGCTTTGGACTCTGTCCGTCGCCGCCTACCGATATTATTACAACTCACCACTATGATCTACAATGATACACAACTAGTGCAGCTCCTGACTACAGCCCTTGTGGGCAACAAATGTTGTCTGGACTCACCACTATGACTTATATGACCTACGTGGTCCACAACTCCCGCAACTCCCTGCTACAACCTCTATGGCCAATCGATGCTCTTGAAGCAAGGTATCAACTATGACTTTTACAACAAGCAGACGCTAGAACTACAGTCCACAACACAGACGGAAAATTGCTACCTCTATGAAAATCGACTGTGGCTCTTACAAACCTCTGTCGCTAAGAACTACAACCAGTTTACGAAGATATAAATTTTTAATTTAGGAGAAGAGTGGACATGTATACTCATTATTCATAGTAGATTATTTCAATCGAGCTAGACCCCATGGTTTTTTCTCCTCTTTTGAGGGTTTTTATTGTTATCAAGATATATTCTCATCTTTAATTACCTGAGTGTGTGTTGTTTTTTTTTTGCATTACTAAGACCTTAATCAATCACTATACAGCTATGAATCTTTTAGTGCACATCACTCCTAATTACTAGAAAAATGTAAGGAAAGTAAGGAACAAATAAAAACTAGCACAAACCATTTTTGGAGAGAGATTTCAGAAGTCGAGACACCAATGAAGTTTAAGATTCCATCTTTGGAATTTATAACAAATAATATGAATTAATGCCTCTAACTATGAATGTTACATTTATCCTAAAATAAAAATCAATTACTTATCTTGAGGTGCGCGACGACACTCCAAATGTTTTAGTAGATCAATCGATGTCGACTAGTAGATCCTACATATAACGAACTCCTAATAGTTAATTATGTAGATAAATATGAGCTTACGGTACCAAGCGATCACGTAGGAAGAAAGAGGAGAGGGTGCATCGATCCTCATCTTTCGAGTGGGTATGGGAGAACAAGTATAAAGAGGGGTTAAATAAAAGGGGTTTCAGTAGGCTCTACACACCACGATCTAGTTGTCGCCATCTTTGCTAGCTCTAATGGATACTACGTCGCAAGGGTTCTGTCACTAAGTCGATGATTTTGGGTGAAAGCGCCGCGAGAGAGAGGATGAGAGGATAAACACAAGAGGGGATTCAGTTAATATATTAGGAGGTGATGAAGAGGAGTGTGATGCCCTGGCTTTAGCATCGATCATCTTTAAATAGTCGAGAAAGGCGGTCAATCAATCAAATTAAGAAGGGGACTTGGGAGAGCAGGGAGAAGAAAAAAGTAAGAATCATGATCTGAGAAGTCCGTAAGGAAGCAAGCGAAGAAAGCAACAAAAATTCAATGCTCATATAAATTAATTTTTTTATATTTATACCACTTAAAATTTTTATCTCACAAAGAACATACTATCATTTCAAAATTTTAAAAGTGACACATTTTCATTATATAGTTAAGGTGATATGCTTGTTAAATTTAAAATTTAGATATTAGATATGTAAATACATAGGAATTGAATCGTATATACATGTAAATTTTTTTTTTATAATTAAAGGAAAAAAAAAAGGGGCATTTATTATTTACTTGGGTCGTCGGCCTAAGCTAAATACGTTCATGAGTTTAAAATTTCCACTCTAACGGTCCGACGGATTCGCTATACGGACGGCTACACGCTGGCCACGGCCGCAGGCTTTTCGCGTTTCTTCTCCGCGACTTCCACATAGGTTATCCCGCGCCGAAAGCAGCCGAATGTCCGGAAGGAGGAGGAAGAAGACGATCTCCTTGAAGGAGCGGTGCGGTAACCTCCCTTCAATGATGGCTTTGGCTCTGTTGTGGAAGGAGGAAGGAAGGAGGGAAAGGCGCAGCTTTACCGCCATGAGGAACGCAGTTTTCGTGCGTTCCCGTACCATCTCGGCCTCTCTTCCTTTGTACCGGACTCTGCTCCTTCATCTCTTCCATTGTCCTCATCTTCGCTGCGATTTCCGGGAATTCGCGCCGTTCTTCTGTCTATTTACTTGATCGATGGTTTCGTTTCTCTCGCTTTGAGTGGGGCTGCTTCTTTGTATTGGATCAGCAAGATTCCGTGGCAAGGTGAGCGACTGAAACCCTTTCTGACGTTTCATGCCAGTGTTCGTCTGATTATAGCGGCGAGGTAATTCAGTGTTATATGGGATGCTAATGCTTGGGGAAGATGATGGAATGCTTGAATTATAACTGTTTTGTTTGTTGATTTTGACTTGATTGGTGGGATGGTTTGAATTTGGGAAATTTGCATACATACCACACAATTCTTTTATGCTTACATATATAATACCTAAATTTTTATCTTTACATTTATAACACTATGGTGTGGTGAGCTTATGCATGAAAATGTGCATTTAACTTTGTATAAGTAGGTGATGGTGATATTTTTGATGTTATATTAAAGATTTGAGTGCTATGCATGTAAATATTAAAGTTTTGGTGCTAGATATGTAAATACATAAGAATTGTGTGTTATGTATATAATTGCCCCTTTTAATTTTTATTTTAATACAGATGGTTGCAATAAAAATGAATTATGATTAGGAAAATAATTTTTTAGGTTAACCTAAAATTAACAAGGGTTAATTTATTAGATCTCAAGAGTAACTTATTTGACCATGGATATGCCCTTTTTTAAGTTAAAATTTTAATAGCAACGAGTTTAGTTCTTCCCCACAAGGATGTTTAAGGTATGTCCCGAATTTGAGGTTATAACTGAAGTTAACCAAAGGGGGATACAAGAATTGAGAGAAGAGAAAGAAGAGAAAAGTTTTTAACTCTATTTTTAGATAGATTATATAGAAAAAAAAAAAAAAAACTGAAAAATGCCCTTAAAATATAATAAATTTTTAATATTAAATATAGATATGAAATTTAAATAATGATACAATTCAATAAAATAATGTTTGAGCTTAGTTTCTTCTAAAATTGTATGGCCCCATCGTGCAAGAATCTTGAAGGAATTTGTAAGAAATTACTTAGGACAACTATGAACAAGAACATAATTTTTTTTGCTATTCTCTCGCATACTATGTGAATCTTAGCAAGACTCTTTACAATGTCAATATGGAATTATTGAGTATGATCAGCAAAAGATAAACTTTACAATGGATACGGTTTGTACTAAGGTGCAATGAGATATTGCCTAGGATACATATCATTAACAACTTCAAATTGATGGAGCAACACAATAAAAATTTCTTCTTGTTTTGCTTTTAGTCATCATATATAAAGGAAGAAGGGAGAGACAATGACCAACAAAGACGAGAGAAAGAGATATGAGAGAGAGAGAGAGAGAGAGAGGCAAAACTTCAGTATATCATTCAACCTGATTAGTCTCAACCTATTCCTAGGTTCTCATTTATAATGAAAGAATCCTTGGGTTGCAAGAAAATAAAGTAACAAAGCATATGATAGAAACAAACCTCATAAAAATATAATAAGACAAAAAAAAAATCAAATGTAGTAGAAATATTTATTTAATTATGTCATTGACATCAAATAGCATTGATCAGACGATTATCATCATTTTTTATTGGGTTGTAAATACCTCTCATTTGAAGGGTGATGATGAAATTATATTTTTAGAAGGTCGGTTATGTGTCATCCACGAGTCATCGGATGAAGTACCTTTTCACTAGAAAAGGTAATGCTCGTTTTACAAACTTCATATAACAAAATATACTCAACAACTAGGATTGGGGCTATGGTTGGCGACAATAGTGGGAATAGTGTTGTGGCAAGGGCAACATAGATACTAGTGCTGCTGGTTAGAATGCAAAATTTCCTTTTGTAGAGAAGTCTATTGAAACTTTTTTGGTTTCAATGTACCTCTATATGCTATTAAATTCTCAACATTAAAATTTGGATTAATATATAAATTAGAATTTAGTTTACGCTTTTTAAGTTCATTGTTAAAATTGATGCTCGAGGATAAAATTTTTTAAATGTGTTATGCATGAAGTATTTAGAGCTATTACAAACTAACAAAATCACCTTCTATTATATCTCATTATTTTTATGAATAACGGCCATAGTGTATATTTTTTAGTTTGCAAGTCCATTCATATTTTAATATCACAAAATATTTTAAGACACATCGAACAAATGATGCATCAAAATCAAATATACATGCATGAATAAGGGTATGAGATCTATTGTTTCGTAGGTTGTGTGACCTATGTGCCACTTTGAAGAATGCTTTTCCATTCATAGTATTAGCAAAGTTGTTGTAGGCAAATTCAACTATAAGCAATAATAAATTCTCATTTTTTAGGATATTGTCAAAAAGTAGCATAGCAAAATGATAGATGATTATTCACTACTTATATTTATTCATTTGTTTGTGAGTGAAAGGTATGCGGATGAAAATCTTAGTAGTGTCTCAAAAGGTTCTCATTTGATTTTTGAAAAAAATAACAGATATCTTAACATCCCTATTAAAGGCAATGGATTTGGGGAGACAAAGTAGGCAAATAATATAATTCAAGAATAAATTGGCCACATGAAATGCATCGTCAGCCTTTAGAGTGAAATGTGCTATTTTAGAAAGCATATCGCCTACTATTAATATGTAATCATATCCACAAGCAATTTTTGTATTCCTGACATGAAATCCATGCTAATGTGTTGCACAATACATTATAGCTTGCATTTTGGTTTAAATCTTTCTCTAATTAACATTTTAAACAAAAACTTGGTATTATAATAACATCTTTCCTAAATAAAGACTAATAGAATCTTTCCTCTATCAAATAAATAAAGTAACAAATGCTAGCTAGGGATATTTTACTACACAAGCATTGATGATATCGATGTATTGTTTATGAGTCACATTCGAATTTTTGATGCATGATGATTTGCATGATCATTGGCAGAGGGACGTATAATCAGTTAGGTAGCGGAGAATGTATGATAAATGTGGTTTGGCAGCTGTGATTGAATCTATGAAATCTTTCCCTTTGATACCACTTAGGCTGAAATGGGAGAAAGAGAGAGTGAGAGAGAGAATGAGATATATTTCATGCAATGAAATAATTCAATATGGCTATCTTCCTCCAAGAGCTTTAATTATAATTAAAGGATCTTTGGATTGTAAGCAAATAAAGTGATAAAAATAATATGTTAGAAAATAAATTGATACCGGAGTTGACCCAAACCATAATAAGAAATGAAGTTTTATTGTTGAAATATAAATAGATTACAACAATGACCTTTCAATACAAAAAATAAACAATAAAAAAAAACATAAAAATATGCCCTAGAGCGTGATGAGGTTGGCGGCTAGACAACAAGTAGGGGTCGGTTTGGAGGTGGTTGTGAGGGAGAGAGAGTTGGAAGTGGGTTGGAGCAACACCTGGAAAGCAGTTGCAAGGAGTTGCAGGGGTGGCTACTAGACCGGAGGATGCTTTGGTGAAATTTGTTGGCAATCACAAGAGGGTGGAGCAGGGAAGGGGCTTAGGAGGGCAATAGTCCAAGAGACTGGTTGTTTAGTTGTGAGGCTAGGTGGGCTGCTAGTAATGAAGGGAGATGTTTTAGTGGTTGTAGGGGAAGCTGTAATGAAATCAGTGCTAGTGGCAGTTGGGGAAAATGTGAAATGCCTTGTGGCTAGGATCACTAGAAGGATGGGGCTGGCAGCTAGAATCAGGGGAAAGGGACTGCGGAGAGGGACAACGTGCAGGTGGGATGAAAAGGGAAAGATAATTATCCCCGCGGGAGCGAGTTACAGCCGGAGCACCCCTCGAACTCTTGGAGAAGATCACGATCTCGGACGAGTTACAGTCAGAGCACCGGAGCATCTTCTCTCCTTCGAATACAATCCTAGAAGGGAAAACATCCGCCAACAACAAGTTGGACATAACTCTCATATCAGAAAGGTAAAAACTAAACCTTAGGATAGCAAACACATATCTATTATAGATATATAGGAGTGAAAATAGAAAAGGAAAGGTGAGAATAATTTCCGCCCAATGAAAAGAGGAAGGAGGGGGCCGGTCTAGCCTCCTAGCAGAGCGAACCTTCTCCTTCTGAATTGATTGGGATTCAAACCCAAGCCCCCACATCATAAACCCTAGTAAAAATATAATAAATCATGAAATTAAAATAATGAAAAAATTGAAATATTCCTTTATACAAAACTCTAAATAAAGCAATGTAATATTTAATGAATCAACCATCAATGTCAAAGGTATGTTTAGTCAGACGACTGCAGAGAGTGGGAGGGGAGGGGGTGCGGGGTGGGTTTGGTGGCGCTTGTCAAGTGAAAATGTTAACTTGAGATTGAGGCACATAGAGATTCAAGAGTGGGATGGGGAGTAGCTTGTATTCATGCCAGAGGCGGAGGATATGGTTACGTGTCAAAACACACACATGCAAAAGCTTTAGAGTGAAAATAGAAGTTAAGATCTTCGAGGTCCTTTATTTTTGTGGTTGGTATTTTTTGAATTTTGTCACAGATTCACCAAAAAAATTACATATATTTTTTTACGCAATCATTGAAATTGAATGTAAAGTTTAACATGCTTTGTTGTGGATTTTCTAGCACGAGGGAATAAAAAAAGTTCAGGCATAATAATCAGAACACAATTCTAAGTTTTTGATTAGTGACCTCTTCTGTTAACTTGTTGTTTCAGAAGTGTTGCCAGACGAAAAAGCAAAAGAGTTGAGTTCTTCATTGATCATCTACAATGAGCAATGGCAGACTTTAGCTTCAGGTGTAATAAGACTTGACAAAGGAACTTAGCAGAGATTGAACATCCCTCAGAATGGATTATCTCAGCCGTAAGCTTGATTTCTTCATCTTAGACATGATTTACTTCTTGTAGAGAACTTTTGTTGTTAACTGCATCATATTATTTCTCTTTAACGTCTTCATCTCATTAGGTTCTACGATGGCATTCTGTGGTGGTTCCATTTGTTCATCTTATGATGGAAAAACTTGTGGACTTGAGGGCATTCTTTACTCCAATACTTGTGTGAACCACTTCTTAGTCATCTCTATTACTCTACTGCTGTTCTTTGCCTTTCTCATGAACGTTGTTCGAAAGTTGTCAATGATTACAATCCAAACACTTTTTCAGCTATCAATTCCCTTGAAAAAATACTCAATCATCTTCAATGGCTGCTTGGGATTTGCTTATCTAGTCCTCGGCCTTTGGATGTTAGAAGAGAAGTTAGGGAGGGGAGAGGGTTTCTTCCCTTTACATGTGTGGCTGGTTGTGTTTTCTCAAGGATTCTTTTGGATTCTCACCAGCTTGGTGGCAAGCATCCGAGCCAAACAGCTTGGAGAGGCATTTGTGAAGGTTTGGTCTGGAGTTTCAAGTGTATTTGCAGCATTTTTCTGCTTTTCTTCTGTTTTAAGCATCCTTCTGGAGAGGTTTATCTCAGTTAGGATAGTTCTAGATCTGCTAACTTTACCAGGAGCTATACTGTTACTTCTCTGTGCCTTCAAGGGATCCCAAGAAGATTATGACTCTCTTTCTGACTCTCTCTATGAGCCTCTTAGTATTGATTCTCATACAAACTTAAGTTCATCAAATATGTTCGTGACTCCTTTTGCTAATGCTGGATTAGTCAGTAGAATGTCATTCTGGTGGCTGAATTCTTTGATGAGGAAGGGCTTTGAGAAGCCCTTGGATGAGAAAGATATTCCGCATATGGGCGAGATGGATCGAGCAGAAAGCCGATACTTCATGTTTCTCGAACAACTCAGCAGACAAACACAGAGCAGTCACACCGTCTCTCCGTCTTTCTTCAGGGCAATAGTTTCTTGCCACAAAAGAGAAATTTTAGTTTCTGGTCTCTTTGCATTACTAAAGGTACTGACCCTCTCTGCTGGTCCAATGCTATTGAACGCCTTTATAAAAGTGTCTGTGGGAATGGGAACTTTCGAATATGAAGGTTATGTTTTGGCTTTGGGAATGTTTTTGGTGAAATTTTTTGAGTCCTTATCTCAGAGGCAGTGGCATTTTCGCACCAGAATGTTAGGCCTACAAATCCGATCTTTGCTTTCCGCAGCCGTGTATCGGAAGCAGTTAAGGCTGTCGAGCTCGGCCAAGCTGATACATTCCTCTGGCGAGATCATGAATTATGTTACAGTTGATGCATATAGGATTGGGGAGTTTCCAGTCTGGTTTCATCAGACATGGACTACATGCCTGCAACTCTGCATTGCTTTGGTGATTCTGTACCATGCTGTAGGCCTGGCGACAATATCATCCATGGTAGTGATAGTTCTCACAGTTCTATGCAACGCTCCGGTGGCAAAGCTCCAGCATAAGTTCCAGACAAGGCTTATGGAGGCTCAAGATGAGAGATTGAAGGCCATGGCGGAAGCTCTGGTGAATATGAAAGTTCTGAAACTTTATGCTTGGGAAACTCATTTTAGAAAAGTGATTGAAAGTTTGAGAGAAGAAGAATGCAAGTGGCTGTCAGCATTTCAGTTGCAGAGAGCATACAACAGCTTTCTTTTCTGGTCATCTCCTGTAGTAGTTTCGGCTGCAACCTTCTTAACATGCTATCTCATGGAGATTCCTCTTTATCCCAGCAATGTCTTCACCTTTGTAGCGACTCTTCGTCTCGTGCAAGACCCGGTTAGATCCATTCCTGATGTTATTGGAGCTTTTATTCAAGCGAAGGTTGCGTTCGGAAGAATCGTGAAGTTTCTAGAAGCAGAAGAGCTTCAGAGTGGAAATCTTAGAAAGAACCGCGCTGTAAATGTCGAACATCCAATCATAATCAAGTCAGCAAGTTTTTCCTGGGATGGAAATCCTTCAAAACTTACACTCAGGAATATAAATTTAGAGATTAAGCCAGGAGAAAAGATTGCAATTTGCGGTGAAGTTGGGTCTGGAAAATCAACTTTATTGGCTGCAATTCTTGGAGAGATACCAAACACAGAAGGCGTGGTAAAAGCCTATTTTTTCACCCATTAAATTGATAGAGCTGCCGTTCTCTTTTATTGAACATAATGAAACTAAGATCTACATTCCTGGAGAATTAAATCTTTTAAATAGTATGAAAAAGAGTAAAGTACCAAAATAGTCCGCTCTTTGTTTAATGGTGCCGTTTTTATCTCAGAGTCTATAAAAGTGTCAAATTAGTCCTAAATTTTTTACATTAAGGCTGAAATTGTTATCTGTGTCAGCTCATATCAAAATAGTATGGGGACTACATTGGCACTTGTATGGACTTCGGGACACCCCCTTTAAATAGTTAGAGGGCTATTTTGACACTTTTTTCATGCAAAATATGACTATTTTTTCAAAGCACATTTATAATAATCATTCTATTGGACTTTGTGTAAATGAGTTAAAAGCTCAATTTTTAGAACTCCGTTTATTTTCTTATCTGTAAGACAAATTTTTTACACAAAATAGCTGTTTCTTGTGGCTGCAGATTCAAGTATTTGGAAAGATTGCATATGTTTCTCAAAATGCATGGATTCAGACTGGGACGGTACAAGAGAATATTCTGTTTGGTTCTGCAATGAACAAACAGAAATACCAAGAAGCCTTAGAAAAGTGTTCCTTGGTGAAAGACCTCGACGCACTTCCCTTTGGAGATTTTACAGTAGTAGGAGAACGAGGAGTGAATCTCAGTGGGGGTCAAAAGCAACGTGTTCAGCTCGCCCGTGCACTGTACCAAGATGCCGAAATATATCTTTTAGATGATCCTTTCAGTGCTGTTGATGCCCATACTGCAACTAGCTTATTTAATGTAAGCAAGATTTGCATGCATACCACTCAGTTATTATGCATTTACACATAAACTTCAATTTTTATATGTATATCACCGTATCTATGTTTGAAAAGGTGTTTATCATTTTTTAAAAGCTGAAAAAATGATATTTTGATGCGATAAAAGGTTTGGGTGGTAAAAAATGTAAAAGCCAAAGTGTAGGTCTTAGATATGTAAAAACATAAGAATTGTGTGGTATGTATGTAAACATCCCCATATTGTAACTACTATTTTCCCATCCATGCAGGTGTCTTTGATTCACCTTAAGCCGTTTCTAAATGTTATTTTTAATTCCATGCAGGATTATGTCACAGGAGCTCTATCTTCAAAAACAGTCCTATTAGTTACTCACCAAGTGGATTTCCTTCCGGCTTTTGACTCTATTTTGGTCTGTTCTCAATTTTCTGTGTTGCTCCTTTAACTTCTTTGTATGGCATTGTCTCTGTCTGCCTTTATCACCACTTAATATTTGCTTCTGATTGCAATCACTGGTATTATAATTTCTTTTGATTCAACAGTTACGTAATTGAAATGGATTTCTTTTTATTTCTTGGTTAGTTCTGAGAAAAATTTTCATGAGAAAAAAGTGTGTTCCCTGGCTCTGTTTAGAGGTCCATTTTGGTCTCAGGTCTATGAAAATGTCAAATTAGTCTTTAGACTTTTTTAATGGTGGCTAAAATAGTCCACTATGGGCACCTTTTCAGGTCATATTTCAACCCATAATTTGACATTTTTTTAGACGAACACTAAAATGACCCGATGTAAGTAGTCAAGGGACTATTTTGGCACTTTTCTCTTTTTTATCATGTAAATCAAGCTTGATTAACTCTTTTTATTACACATAACTTGTTAGGCTGACCTTATGTTTTGCAACATTATTTAAAAAGTCTCTTTGCCCTTGCAGTTAATGTCAGAGGGAGAGGTCCTCAGATCTGCTCCTTACCATGAACTAATGATCTCAAGCAAGGAATTTCAGGACCTGGTCAATGCACACAAAGACACCGCCGATCCAGAAAGCCTCGAGAAACTTATATTGCATAAAAGCTGCGTGCGTGCAATGGAGATCCATGACACGTGCATTAATAATCAACACAAAATAGCAAAGTCTTCAGGAGAAGATCAGCTGATTAAGAAAGAGGAGAAAGAGTCGGGAGATACTGGTCTAAAGCCTTATTTACAATACCTCAACCAGAACAAGGGCTTCTTGTACTCTTCACTAGCTGCTGTTTCTCATATAATTTTTATATCAGGCCAAATTTCTCAAAACTCTTGGATGGCGGCAAATGTTCAAAACCCGCAAGTGAGCACATTGAGATTGATCACAGTGTACCTGGCCATAGGGTGCAGCACAGCCATCTTTTTGTTGTCTAGATCAGTATTCGTTGTTGTTCTTGGCCTTCAATCATCAAAATCTCTGTTTTCTCAGCTGCTTAATTGCTTGTTTCGGGCGCCAATGTCATTTTTTGATTCCACTCCTCTCGGGAGGATATTGAGTCGGGTTAATTTCTGCTCTATAGTTATATTACTATTTTCTTAATACATAATTGCTGATTTCCTAACTGTTTTTAGGGGGGCACAGTCTGCCCCTCTAAAAATAAGTGTGAGACTATTTTAGTTCTTTTCTCTATTCTTGTGTTAAGAAGTTACTCGTTCTAGTTGGCTCATTCCTACATACTTCCTTTCACAGGTCTCTTCTGATCTAAGTATTGTTGATCTTGATGTGCCATTTAGCTTGATCTTTAGCATCAGTGCTACATTAAATGCATATAGCAACCTTGGCATAATGGCTTTTATTACATGGCAAGTCTTATTTGTCTCCATTCCTATGGTCTATTTGACCATCCGATTGCAGGTATTTAAGAAGATAAATAACTTCCATAGTGTTTACCAACATCACATGTTTTTATGAAATGAAAATGTGGATTATGTTGAAAAAGGGGGTTATAGTTTCAAAATGATCCTCGATTATTTGTAGGTGAATAAGTTTGTCTCGAAGTATCACATTTCTTCACGGCTAAACTTTCATATTTACATACATAACACCTTGGTGTTTTAAATCTATGTGTGGAAAGATATATTTCACTTTTAAAAAGTGATAAACGTGCTATTTTTTGTGTGATATTAAAGATTTGAGTGATATGTGTGTAAATATGGAAGTTTAGCTGTGATATATGTAAATATTGTAAATGAATTGTGTAATTTAGTACTTCAGTATGCAAAATTGATCCAAAATAATCTCACAAATACTAAATTTGGTCCAATTTTGTTAGTTCATGGATAAAATTTATATTAATTTTGTATCTTAATTTCTACACAAGGGATCATTTTAGATCAATTATATTATGTCGAGAGACTAAATAAGAGAATCTTAGTATTTTAGGACTAAATTGATCACATATAAATAGTCGTGCGACTGTTTTGGGGTTTAATCCATTAAAATGCGTCGACTTGGATGGGTGAAAAATGCATTTTTGTCGCATTTCAAAATTTATACCCTTTGTAGTTGATTGCTTGCGTAGAAATGACAGCAGATTCCATTGTCTACAGGCCTACTACCTGAATTCTGCAAAAGAGTTGATGCGGATTAATGGCACTACAAAATCTCTAGTGGCCAACCATTTGTCTGAGTCTGTGTCTGGGGCAGTAACAATCAGAGCCTTTCAGGAAGAAGATCGTTTCTTTGGAAAGAATTTGGAGCTCATTGATAGTAATGCCAGCCCATTTTTCCATAATTTTGCTGCTAGTGAATGGTTAATTCAACGTTTAGAGACCATGGGTGCTGCTGTTCTTTCAACTTCAGCCCTTGTCATGGCCCTTCTTCCTCCAGGAACTTTTAGCTCCGGTGTGTCGCGGATACTCTTTACTAATTTTTTAAGAATATCAATTAAAATTCTTTTCTTTTTATACATCGAGAAAAGAATTAAAATGATCATCCGATTATTTGCAACGGACTAAAATGAATCTAATATGTAAAAGGCCAATTTCAATATTATAAGAGGATAGAAATAGTCCATTGTCTTACTGATGTCACTAACTGCATGATTCTAGTTTTCCCTTTGTTAAATGAACTGAACCTGTTGTTTCTGATGTTATTGCAGGATTAGTGGGGATGGCTCTATCTTATGGCTTCTCATTAAATATGTCCCTTGTTTTCTCAATCGAAAATCAATGTACACTCGCAAATTACATAATATCCGTGGAACGGTTGAATCAGTACATGCATATATCAAGCGAGGCTCCCGAAATCGTCGGAGGCAACCGACCACCTCCGAATTGGCCGGGAACAGGCAAAGTGGAACTTAGAGACTTGAAGGTATTTATTATTTCATTATAGCGGCATTTACATACATACCACCCAAGTCGTATGTATTTACATATCTAACATGTAAACTTTGCTATTTATATTTATATCACATAAAAAATGTCACTGTTTTAACTTTTGAAAAGTGAAATATACCTTTTCATACATAAATAAGGTGGGCATGCAAGTAAAATAAGAATGGAGTGGTATGTATGTAAATCTTCCTTCATTATATCTCTGAGTAACTTTAGTTTCGAAATCAGCATCTTTTTGTTTCTTCCTTTCATTAGAAAAGTTAAGGAGCCATTTGGGATTACTTTTATATTTTATTTTATTTATATTATGATTTGAAATGAAATATATTTGGTATATAGTTGTTTTAAAAACATTCAAAACACATAAAAGTTATTTCTAAGTGTTTTAAAAAATATGTTATTTTTTTTCTAGAAATAAAACATAAAAACATGACAAACACATAAAAAAAATATGTTTTTAAAATAATTTTAAAAAAAAATGATCCTAAAGAAATCCTAAGTATCGATTTGTGCGTTTGAAACAGGTAAGATACAGACCAGATAGTCCGCTTGTTCTTCAGGGAATCAGCTGCACCTTTGAAGGAGGACACAAGATCGGGATCGTCGGACGAACTGGGAGCGGGAAAACTACCCTTATAGCTGCACTGTTTCGACTCATTGAGCCGTCGGGAGGAAAGATCATCATAGATGGCCTAAATATTGCCACAATTGGGTTACATGACCTGAGATCGCGATTCGGAATCATTCCTCAAGATCCTACCCTCTTTCATGGATCTGTGAGATATAATTTGGATCCTTTAGGGCAGCATTCAGATCTTGAAATATGGGAGGTACTTTTTCTTATCAATTCTTTCTTGGGATTTTTTTACATACATACCATACAATTCTCCTGTATTTACCTATCTTACAACTGAACATTCATGTTTACATGCATTCAACTCAAAGCTTTAACATGACATAAAAAATTTACCTTTTCATGCATAGTTTTATGACACCAAATTGTTATATAGGTAAATAACAAACTTTTGGTGCTATATATATGAATACATAAGAATTGTATGGTTATGTATGTAAATTTCCCTTATTTTCTTATGTGATCATCCTAACAAATAAGAAACACATAGTTTCCAAACCATGCAAATATACCTCTACGTCTTGCTCTTCTTTTTTGTCAGCAAATTAGCCTTTTTTTCCAACCAGAAGTTTGGGAAAACAGTTTCTATATGATCTAAATAAAATTAGAAGATTAAAAAACTTATCTCTTATTATAAAATTGTACCTGCTGCTGGTACTTCTAATCCATCCAGATAGAGATATTGCCTTTTTTTCATGGATTATAAAAGAATGAAGGGAAATTTACAAGCATAGCACACAGACAGTTCTTATGTATTTGCATTTCTCAAGCCTGGACTGCGAAGATCTAATATTTATGTCCGGACGACGTTCAATCGTAAAACTAATGCCAAATTACATGAAATAAATCAAATTTAAATTCTTCCTAGATAGGAAGGATTTATTATCTTCAGATTATCATAGTCTGATCTCATCCCAATATTCAGATGTTTTTCATGGACTTTAAATTCATAAAATCTTGCGCAGTTGCTTCTAAAGAAGTTTTCTTCTTTCATGTTAAAAAGCTAAAGGCCATTTGGGATCACTTTTGATTTTGATTTTTTTATTTTATTTTGTTTATTTTACATGTTTAGTTGTTTTTAAAAACACTCAAAAAATAATTTTTAAATATTTTGAGTGCTTATTGAAAAAGAAGCTAATTTATTTTGAAAACTAAACATAAAAACATACACAAATGTACATTAAAAAATATTTTTTAAAATTAAAAGCAAAAAACGAAAACAAATTCCTAAAACCAAAAGTGATCCCATGTGACAGCCTGAACTCTTACCAATCAAGATATTGTTTGCTTTGGCCAAATGGCCTCACGGTTTTGCCATGCTAGTGTAACTTCCCAATATGTCACCCATCCGAGAAGTGCTTTATTACAAGCATGCTGAACTTTGAAGTTTCTATTGAAATTTCACCATTACACCAAAAAGCATCTCAATGTTTAAAAGTCTGGCTTCAATCTATTTAAGGGATTTCACATCCCGAACAAGCCCTTGGCTTTAATAAGATATTGTCTGTCTCAAGTGGAAACTAATATCAGTATTCCTATTTACATCATCATCCTTAAATTTTCCTTTTTGCCACAAGGTTCTTGAAAAATGTCAGCTCCGAGAAGTTGTTCAAGAAAAGGAGCAGGGTCTTGATTCTCTAGGTAGATTCCTCTCAACACATCAACTTCACTTTCCTCTCCATCTTAAACTTCCATTATTTACACTGCAAAATTTCTGAGTCCAGTTGTTGAAGACGGATCCAACTGGAGTATGGGACAGAGACAACTGTTCTGCTTGGGACGTGCGCTTCTGAGGAAAAGCCGTATATTAGTTCTTGACGAAGCCACAGCTTCAATCGACAACACCACTGATGCTGTTCTTCAGAAGACCATCAGAACAGAATTCATAGACTGCACTGTCATCACTGTTGCTCACAGAATTCCAACGGTTATGGACTGCACCAAGGTGCTTGGGATTAGTGATGGTATGTGCTGTTTCTTTGAACTTTTACAAACTTGGCATCTCAAGGAATTTGTTCTCTCTTTCATAGCATCCAAAACATTGCTATTTACAAATCTAGCACCATCTTTCCTTCATTTTTCAAATTTTCACTCAAAAGTCTAAGTTCATGATACCAATCCATATTTTTTTCATTTTTATCAAATTTTCAATGGTTTGAATGCGGCACATGTAAATATATTGATTTCGTATTTTAAAATTATTACCTGGGTCCTAGATTTTGTAAATAGCAATGTTTTGGGTGCTATGCATGTAATTATTTTTTTTTTAAACTCATGCACTTACCTGTTTATGTTGGGCCTTTTATTGAAGACTTGTTTAGGTCATTTACATACATACCTCTTAATTTTTATGCATTCACATATATAACACCCAAAATTTTCCTTTTTACATTTATATCACTGAAAACATTCATATCACATACAAATGCCACTATTTTAACTTTTAAAAAACAGGTGCATTTACATACATAAATACCACCCAATTCCTATGTATTTACATAATCTAAGGCCTAAGTTTTAATTTTTACATATATACCAACCAACTCGTTCATATCACTTCAAAATACACCATTTTAACTCTTAAAAAGGGAATGTTTCTTTTCATGCTTAGGTAAGGTGGGTATGTATGCAAAAATTGAAGTTTTGGTGTAAGATGTGTAAACACATATGAACTTAGTGGTATGTATGTATATGGTTGCAACTAGGGCTGTCAAAAAAGCTCGTTGGTCGTGAATAGCTTGTGTTTAAGTAGCTCCTGTTCGAATCGTTCATTAAGTAAATGGGTCAAACACGAACAAATTTTTTAAGCTCGAATTATAAACGGCCAAGCACAAACAAATTTTTTAAGCTCGGATTTCAAACGAGCCAAGTACAAACAACCTTTTGTTCAATCGTGTTCAGCTTGTTTTAACTCGTGCAGTCATGTATTTTTGGGTCTTCCACTGCATAGAAGTAGTGAATGTTCGAACTTAACACTCAACATCTCTTTTTTTAATTAATTTAAACGATGCAATTTCGAGCCGAACATGAACACAATTCACTAGCAAATTCAAACACGAGCCAATTTCGAATGAGTCGAACACGAGCCAAGCTTGATCGCCTTCGAATGAGCCAAAAACGAGCCAAGACTGAGCTCGCTCAAGCTCGACTCGTTTACGGCTCTAGTTGCAACTGCGTCAAATTAATATTGAGGTCTAATGATTCATGGTTGGAAGTTTTTCAATATGAAATTGTGAATAGTTTTCCTAATTTCAATTTGCTCTTCCAACTAGGCGAAAAAATTTATATCAAAATGAGCCTTAAATTCATTCGATATGCTTTGAAATTAGTGCATTATGAGTTTTGATTGATTGCTCATGTCAAAATGAATCCAACAATTTTGAAATCCAAATATCCCGACCAAAATTTCTCTCTATCATCTTAAAGACTCCTCTATCTCCTAGTACCACTTTCAGATTTAGATTTTAGTTGTGTGAATCAGATCCCTCAAAATCTTGGAAGATTTATATACATACCACTCAATTTTTATGTATTTACATATCTAACCCCTAAACTTCAATTTTTCTTCAATAATTTTTACATACATACCCCACCTTATCTATTAATAAGAATGGTGATACTTTTTATATGATATGATATATTTGGTTGGTAGAATTATATATGTAAATATATAGGAATTGGGCGTTATGGTATGTAAATGCCCCTATGAAGAACATGACACCCCAATTGGGCGGTATGTATGCATATATCATACTAATTGGATGATGCATATAAATATATATATTTGCAGGTAAATTAGTGGAATATGACACCCCAATGAAATTAATGAAGACTGAGGGGTCTCTTTTTGGGGAACTTGTGAAGGAGTATTGGTCCCACACCGTCAATGCAGATATGTAGCCTCTATGAAGAATACAATAAAGCTGTTTAGTTTCTGCTCTGAATTCTATCATTAGTTCAGTTCTTCTATCTACAGTGCTGTAAGGTTTGGCCTTAGTCTCTATAGTCAATAATAATGACTTGCTAAATGTATATTTACACAAAAATATATTTCCAGGGCTTTATATAATATGTAAACTTTCATATTGCAGTTATTATCAGTTTCTGCTTTATGTATGTATATGAAATGTATATATGTTTCTGTCATCATCTTGATAATCATAGAATTATTTTTTCAGGAAATATCCCTTTTTAAAGGTTAAAGGTCTGTTTGGGGCAGCTGCAACTTATTAAAACGTAGCTGTGAAGTTGATGAATAATAATCTGATGCAAAAAGTTACGGTGGCTATTGCATTTTTTTTTTTTAATTCTGATCGCAGCTAGAAAGCTGTCACCGTACCGAGTCAGGAGTTGTGGGAAACACAGATTTCAACTGTAGCTTTTTGAAAAAGCTGCCAAAACGCGATTTACTCAAACTGATAAAACTGTGGTGCGGTGCCGCAAAGCCACCGTATTGCCGCCCCAAACAGACCCTAAATCTGTTCAATTGCCTTGATTGTGATTTTGTTTGGGCTAATATGCTTATGTGTGTGTGTGTTTAGTGAAGTTTTTATAATATATTTGATGGGTAATTCATTAAATATGAAGGATTTGAATTTTTTTGTGTTTATGTATCTAATAAAGAGGAACATTACGATAAGTTTTTGAGAGAAGCTCTTTGAAGAGTTCTAAAAAAAGAAGATGTCGGTATGACTTATATTTAAGTCACTAAAGATATGTATATTAGAGTTGTCACTTGTGTTTGAACAGGAGGATTAAGTATATTCTTATTTCAATTAGTTTACAACACGAATCGGCTTTAAGCCCAAATCTTCTTGCTTTAGTTATGGATGTTGTTACTGGACATTAACATGAGAATGTACCTTGATGTATGCTTTTTGCTGACAACATCCTTCTTGTGGATAAGACTAGAGAAAGTGTTCGGGAAAAAAACTTGAATTATGGAGGTCAATATTGGAGTCTAAAGGCCTTCGTTTGAGCAGAACTAAAATTGAATACATTTGAATACATGGAATGTAACTAAAATTGAATACATGGAATGTAATTTTAGTAGTAGTAGCTCTAGTGCCAGAGTTGTATCTATGGGTGATCAAATCATTAAAAATGTGTGAAAGTTTTAGATATCTCGGGTCTTTTGTTCAATGTGATGGTGCTATAGATGAGGATGTTATTAGTATAATTCAAGTTGGTTAGTTGAAGTGGAGAAATGCATCGGGCCTATTGTGTGATAGAAAAGTATCATTTAGACTAAAAGAGAAATTTTATAAGATGGTGGTAAAACCTGCAATGCTCAATGGCATCGAAAGTTGACCTTAAAAAGAGAAGCATATAACAAAATTAAGTGTTGTTGAGATTAGAATACTTAGGTAAATGAGTGGCTTAGCACTTTAGACAATGTGAAATGAATATATTCATGATTAGATTAGTGTAGCTCCAGTGACAAGCAAGATTAGAGATAGTCGTCTTAGATGGCTTTGTCACGTTAAACATCGACCATCTGACGATCCTGTTAGGAGAGTAGATGTTTTTTATTCCACTTATGTTAAGAAAGACAGAGATAGACCTAAAAATACTTGGGCATATTGTATAAAAAATAATCTAGATTGGTTAGAATGAAATGAAAATCTGACACTTACTCAATAGGATACAATGAAGAAAAATGATTCATATAGCTAATCTCACTTAGTGGGATAAATGATTGTTGTTGTTGAATATATGTACATACATTTGTGGCTGAGGAATGGATCTGCACAAGACTAATCTAATCTTATTAATGAAGATAATATAATATATATTGATTTTCCGGTGATTGACAAAATTGTTTTGTGAATCTCATGAACCTTCTATTCATAGCTTATGATGTGGATCTATAATATAACATTAATTTTATTAATAAAAAATTCAAGTAAAAAATTAATACGTCTAATTTTGATCTAATGATAAAAGTTCTTATGTTTGACATACTCCGTTGTGATTCAAGTTATTTCTACATCACCAAATTAATGAATCATTTATCTCACTATCTACACCAACCATTGTGACATTAATTCATTACTCTGTATACTTGGCGATGATCAAAATACTTTAAGCTTCTACGAAGTTTGACTTAATGCAGTATTTTGATTAAGATGAATTATCTTGATTTGCTAATGGGATATTTCTTGGTTGAAAATTAAGAGAGTGAGAGAGTTCTCATATATATTATGTTATGCATCAATATATATGAATGTTTAGGATTCAATGTAGAATTCAACTAATTAAACAAAACAATTGGAATTCAAAATGAATAATTATTTATTTTTGATCAAAAATATTCAAAGATGCAAGAATTATATTAAACATTTGATGCTAAAAAAAATTATAATTATAATTAACTAATGCATATTATTAATGGGCATTTATATAGATATGACACACAATATTTATTTATTTACATTTTTAACTCCTAAATATTCATATTTAAATACATACCCCTGATATTTTTAACATCACATAAAAAAATCCATTTGTTTTTGCATTACATAAATAATACAATCTTGATGATTTGATTACATCATCTTCAAATATGTTAATTTAAAATTTCATTTTAAACCATGGCGGTACTTTTGGCAAATAAATAAAATGATGTTTCTTGCATAATATAGTTTCTAGTTCAACTCAAAAAGAGGCTACATAATCGATACAATTGAGTTGACCCAACTCATGGGACAGTTCGGGCTCAACTCTATAAATAGCTCGTGAGTTGAGCTCAAATAAGTAAACAAGTTGGTTTTGAGTTAGCTTTGACTCTTCTCACCAATTTATTTTAAGAAAGTATTAATATAAAATGTATTTAAAATAATTAAAAATCTAAGTATAAATTAATATTCATGCATAGGGTTGTCAAAAAAACTCGTTGTTCGTGAACAATTCTTGTTCTGCTTGTTCGTTATGTAAACGAGTTAAACACGAATAAATTTTTTAAGCTCAAATTACAAACGATCGGAATTCGAACTCTTTGTTCTCTCGTGTTCGGCTCATTTTAGCTAAATATAAAAAAGAAAAAACATATAATTATTTATATAATAATATATTATATATATTTATTTCTAATTTTAAATAATAATAGCTCATGTGCTTCTTTGTATACAATTGATTCATGTTTGAATATAATAATCTAAAAATATTAAATTAGAGCCGAACAAGAATATACTATTCACGAGCTAATTACGAATACAAATAATTTTGAACGAATACGGGCCAAGCTTGAGCTCGCCTCGGGCTGGGCTTTGTTACAGCCCAATCCATGCATCACTCAAAACATTGTTTTTTCAAGCAAATGTTCCGGCCATCTCTTGCCGCGCCGTCGGAACCATACCAACCCATTCTCTCTACCTATTAACCTCCGGCTGAATCTATCGGCAGGGCAACCTTCGGCGATACAAGCTCCCTGGCTAGGATGGGATTCTTCTGAAATCGGCCGCCGGTGATCGATCCATTGCCTCCGCTCCTTAACCTAGTTTTCCTGAAGACTTCTACGCTGCCGCTAGTTGAACAGCCAGTTTGCATTGTACCCAGCTTGTCATTGCTCCGGAGGTAAAATTTTCTCCATCTATTTTTCCCTCGGTTGTTAAAATCCTACATATACGTAGCACGTATTTCTTATGTATTTCTATCTCATACCTAATCTTTCATATTTGCCTTCCAATCCTCAATTATTTCCTTAAAAGCGAATTGAGTAAGTGTCTTAACTGGGATTTGTAGCTCATAACTGGTGCTCACTTAAAATGGAGATGATCGTCTTGGCATTGCTTTTGGCTGCTCTGCTGGGAGCTATATTTCTCTATCCAAGATCTGCAAGAAAAGGTATAAATGTAAGTATTTGATATTCTTAGGTTGTACAGTACTGCAACTTCGATCATCCGACAAAACCTGTTGGTGCAGGTAAAATAGAAGGAAATCTTCAGACTATTGCTAAGGAGGTACGCCATTGAAAGTTATTGGTTCCGTTGCACATGCAAAGAGTAAATTATTTTTGGAGCATTTACATACATACCACCCAATTCCTATGTATCTACGTATCTGACAACTAGACTTATTTTTTTCATTTATAACACTTATGTTTTTATATCCTATTTTGACTTTTAAAAAGTGAAATGCACCTTTTCATGTTAGATATGTAAATACATATGTGGATTTGAAACTTTCAATATTTTTTGCTATATTGATAAACATCTTCATCTCACATGCTTGAACAAGATAGAAGGCTGAAAGTTACCATTTTAAGTACTCCATCACTCAAATTAGCTCTTCCACAAGTAGTTTGTATATTTCAATTTAAGAGGGTCAATCTATAGCAAACTTTTCGGTTTCCTCCATTGTAACCTGAGATCATGGGTTAGAACCATGGAGGCAATCTCTTGGCAATGAAAGAGAGCTATTGCACGTCTGCCCCACTTCAGACCTCAACTGAAGAGCACCGCATGCAATGAAAATGACTTTATTCCTATTATTTTTTTCAGTGTGATTGTTCCCGAGTTATTAATTCTATATTTTTTTTTATTTCATTTTTCACTGTTAAAGCAATTAATCTCATGATGCATGGATACAGATAGGGCTGTCAAAAAAGCTCGTTGTTCGCGAACAGTTCATGTACGCGAACAAGTTTTTAAAGCTCGAATTATAAATGAGCTGAACACGAGCAGCTCTTTGTTCGCTCATGTTCAACTCGTTTAGCTCGAAATAAAAAAATAAATTTATATAATTATTTATATCATAATATATTACATATATTATTTATATGATAATATATTATCTAAATTTAAATCGTAACACCTCGTGTGGTAATGTGGTTAGTGTATTCTTTTGCATACATTTGATTCACGTCTAATCCAACACTTTATATATATATATAATATATATATATATATATATTCCATTTAATTTTAAAGAGCCAATTTTGAGCCGAACACGAGCCGAACACAAACATGAATATTTAAATCGAGCCAAACATGAATACACTGTTCATGAGCCGATTTCAAGCACGAGCAGTTTCGAACGAGCCGAACACGAGCCAAGCCTGAACTCGCTCAAGCTCGGCTCGTTTACAGTCCTAGATACAGAATTGTTTGTTATAGGTTCACATATTTCATTCCTTGCAAAGAATGTTCTCATTTTTAAGTGAGGTGCATGTTTTGTGGCAGTTAGAGTTTATGCTAATGACCTTAGTGAGCATAGAAAGTTGTTGCAATCTTATAAATTAGAAAAGAAAACAAAGTATTCCTTTTCACAACAATTGGAAGCAACGTATATACCCACTAAAGCAAACTGCACTATAGCAATTTTTAATTACATTAGATTATGGAAAACTGATTTTCAGTTTTAACTGCAGTTTTTAAAACGGAATAAATAACTACCCACTAAGATTAAGGTCCTATAATTAGGCGAGATGACCAAATAACATAAAATAACCAACACCAAAAATAAAATATAAATTAATTGTAACATTCAACTAAGCAATATTCAAAACTCCACAATAGCAGTCCTATGCACGTTTTCTAACACTCCTTGCTTTAGGAGTTGCAAAGACCAAGTTTTGCTCTCATATATTCGAACTTTGTCAGTGGCTAGGTGATAACATCTGCAACCTTATCTTCTGTTTCGAAGTACATAGGAGCAACGATTTCATCCTTTTTTTAATTCCTTTAAGAAGAATAACTTGATGTAAAATGCTTGGTTTTCTTGTGAAAGACGGAGTTATGAGAAATAGCAACAACAACTTGATTGTTAACAAGAATCTTTGTGCTTTTGTTTTTTGCTCCAAGTTAAGATCGATTAAAACCTTTCTTAGTGACAAAGCGCAATTAACATCAGCTGCTGCAACAACAAATTCTGCTTCAACAGTGTATTGTTGTTTCTTATTTTTTTGCTCTCCATGACAAAACACTAGAGTCAATTGCAAAGAAGTAGCTTGAAGTGCTCTTCACATATCGGAGAAACCAACGATCATGAATTCTTTGCTCTTTGTGATTTAATGCCAAAATCACATGTGCCTTTCACATATCTAATCACCCTTTTGTAGCTTTGGGATGACATTCATTTGCACAGTGCATAAACCTAGACAAAATACTTCTAACATTCAAAATGTTAGGTCAAGTTGCTGTGAGATTCATCAAACAGCCAATTTGTCCTCTAAAATATGGCTGATTAATCTTCTATGTTCCATCTTCTTCACAAAAATTTTCCCTCAAGTACATCAGAATGTTCATTTCATTGCATTCTTCAAGTTTAAACTTTTTCAGAATCTCCTTCACATATTTATTCGAACAAATGAAAACTTCATGCTCACTTTATTAATTTCTATTCCTAGAAAGAATGTCATCAATCCCAGATCTATCATCTCAAAAATCACCAACATCTGTTGCTTAAACTTCTCCACATAACTTGTATTGTTTCCTATCACATGCAGATCATCCACATACAGTGAGATAATAAGAATGTCAGTTTCATTTTGCTTGACAAATAATATCGATTCATATAAGGTTTTTTCGCAAATGTTCCTCAATTCTATGTATCAACCGCTTGAAGCTTCAATCTGTAAATTTTTGAGAAGACACTCCTTGTCTTCTTCTTTTACATAGCATTCCAATTGCTCTACATAAATCTCTTTTGATCTTGTTTTTGTTCTTGATCATCCTTAGTTTTACCCATGAGTTTTGTAGATAGCGACATCGATCGTAATTGTCATTGGCTTGGTAGCCATTGATCAAGTCTGATCTGTGCATTCTTTGCGTGTTCGCATATGCTGATGGATTGGATAACTTGTTGCCATCTAGTCTCTCATCATGCTCGAATTTGTTTTCTGAGAGTTAAGCCATCATTTTCGTCATTATGTTTGAACAAATATATGACGAGTTTAATAAGGACTTGCCATATTTTTATGTGGTTGCATGTGTGAAGTTTTATTTTACATTAATCTTCGCTTTCACTAGGGCATCTTTTCATCAAACGGATGTGTCCGGGTCATTGAGATGATTTAAATGAGCATATTCATGGCCAAATTAGACTTCATTTGAACACACGTATGTGTGTGTGTGAATTAAATATTAGTATTATATAATATTTAATATTTAAAATTTTCTTCTATTATACTCTTAATTTAGGCTTTGTTATTACAATTAAAGCCAAATTTATTTGCTTTCCAAATTAAACCTCTAAAATTGGAAAGAATAAATATTGTTTTTATTTTTTTCGAGCCTCACATTTCATGTCTTTTCTCTTAAAAAAAGGAAAAAAAAATTCTTTTCATGATCATGACATATTAAAGGAAAAGTTGTGAATTTTTCATATAAAACTCTCACATCTCTCTTCTTTTTTGGGTCCTCACGCTCTCTTCCTCTCTCTCAACTTTTGCACAAAACCTCTCCTCTTCATATCACTCTCTCTCACACAACACACATAAAGGAGTAGGTAGTTTTTTACAAATAATCCTCTTTCTCTCAAACTCTCTCTCCTCATGGTAAAACCAAAAATAAGGCCCACTCCGCTCACAAAAAGATAGTCCATCATTTTTCTCTCCATTCTATCCGTCTTTCTCCTGTATCCGCCTATCTCCTCTTTAAGATTTTTGACACAAAACACCAAACCGGCTGTCCTTCCCTGCCCCCTCCGATTGCTCTATGCTTTAAAGTCGTCCCCAAGTTTCGAAATAGGGGGAGCTTTCACTCACATCATTCTCTTATCTGTCTCTGTCTCTCTCTCTCTCTCTCACACAGACACACACATCACACAGACACACACACAGACACACACACACACACACACACACACACACACACACACACACACACACACACACACACACAATCTTTCACAAATTTCTCTATTCGTCACATCCCGAGGAGATCTCTCGGCCTCTCACGAGAGAACGAACAAACCGATCGAAATTAGGGGTGTAAATGAGGCAAGCTTGAGTGAGCCCAAGGCTTGTTTGTTTTCGACTCATTCAAATTTTTTATTGTTCATGTTCAGCTCGTGTTTGAAATGACTCGTCAATAGCTTGTTTGTGTTCGACTTGATTTAAGCTCGTTTGATCGAATTGATTCATTTTTGGCTTGTTTAACTATTTAACAGTATAGATTAAATTTAAACTCAATTAATAAAAAAATCTCATTTAATTAGTCCATATTAAGAGCCTGATGTTAAGACGAGTGACTGGTGCAAAGGTATCCGATTAGTCCATACTAAGTACTTGAGCATATCATTTGGCCACAAGTTTGGATTAATGCTTATTGATTGAGCCACCAATAATAAGCTTGGTTTTGTACACCCACTTAAATCCATTTTTTTTTTTTAAATTTTGCGGTCGATCAATCAACTCCCATGTTTTGTTTTTCTTGATAATGAATTGTTCCTCCTTCATTGCAATAATCCAATTTTGATCAGTCTCGACTTTTTCATAATCTACAGGTTTATACACCACAATGTTGCATCTTTGATGAACATCAGAAAGTAGACTTGTGCCTCTTATAGGACTATCATATCATTCTCTCAATCTCCTCTACATTGTGTTGTTTCCAAAATAAGAAAATTGAGATTGACTCTTTTGTGGTTAGATCCTTTTTTCTTCGTGTCACCCAGTGGCACTATTCATCTTCCATAAAGTGCACATCCTTGCTTATGATAATTTTTCCCGTTTGTGATTGAATTTCTTATAAGCTTTTGCAATTAAGTTATAACCAATGAAGATGTCAGGAAGTTTTATTTTATTTAAGTTACATATCTTTATCTGGGAAACATGAGTGAAGCATAAAGATCCAAATAATTAAGAAATTTTAGAGATTGTTTATAACCATACCATGCCTCAAAGGGTGGAAAAATTATTCCATATGTGCAACGTATGCAAGCCTGCATGCGGAAGCCAATAACAAAATGCCACGTGGAATATGTCCCCACTATTGTAAAAACTCTGTTATATTGCGTT